TGTCCGCGATACACTGTATAAAACCATTGTCACAACTTATATCTTGTCCGCGATACACTGTATAAAATCATTGTCACAACTTATATCCTGTCCGCGATATACTGTATAAAACCATTGTCACAACTTATATCTTGTCCGCGATACACTGTATAAAACCATTGTCACAACTTATATCTTCTCCGCGATACACTGTTTAAAACCATTGTCACAACTTATATCTTGTCCGCGATATACTGTATAAAACCATTGTCACAACTTATATCTTGTCAGCGATACACTAAAATATTGTCACAACTTATATCTTATCGGCGATACACTGTATAAAACCAGTGTCACAACTTATATCTTGTCAGCAGAACACTGTATAAACCCATTGTCACAACTTATATCTTGTCAGCGGTACACTAAACCACTGTCACAACGTATATCTTACCCGCGATACACTGTATAAAACCATTGTCACAACGAATATCTTGTCAGCGATACACTGTATAAAACCATTGTCACAACTTATATCTTGCCCGCGATACACTGTATAAAATCATTGTCACAACTTATATCCTGTCCGCGATATACTGTATAAAACCATTGTCACAACTTATATCTTGCCCGCGATACACTGTATAAAATCATTGTCACAACTTATATCCTGTCCGCGATATACTGTATAAACCCATTGTCACAACTTATATCTTGTCAGCGGTACACTAAACCACTGTCACAACGTATATCTTACCCGCGATACACTGTATAAAACCAGTGTCACAACTTATATCTTGTCAGCAGAACACTGTATAAAACCATTGTCACAACTTATATCTTGTCAGCGGTACACTAAACCACTGTCACAACGTATATCTTACCCGCGATACACTGTATAAAACCAGTGTCACAACTTTATATCTTGTCCGCGATACACTGTATAAAACCAGTGTCACAACTTATATCTTGTCAGCAGAACACTGTATAAAACCATTGTCACAACTTATATCTTGTCAGCGATACACTAAACCATTGTCACAACTTATATCTTATCGGCGATACACTGTATAAAACCAGTGTCACAACTTATATCTTGTCAGCAGAACACTGTATAAAACCATTGTCACAACTTATATCTTGTCCGCGATACACTGTATAAAACCACTGTCACAACGTATATCTTACCTGCGATACACTGTATAAAACCAGTGTCACAACTTATATCCTGCCCGGGATACACTGTATAAAACCAGTGTCACAACTTATATCTTGTCCGCGATACACTGTATAAAACCGGTATTACAACTTTTTATCTTATCCATAAATCACACATGTGTATCGTCAAAGGGACTACTTAATCTTTTATCTATAAATGCATACAAATACTTTAGTATATGATCATAATGACACGTATATTTATCTCATTCCTGTACGTTTATGACAGAAATAGCTACAGCAAGAAAGATTGAAAAAATCTATCTTACACTCACTTCACCTGTGTGACGTCACAATTTGACAATAATGACGGACGTTGCGAAATCGGGAACATCCCGATGCTGATGCGGAAACTGCGTTTATATTTTACATTTTTTGCATTTCAGGTGAAAATAATGAGAAAAATAGTTTCGAAGTCCAGAGATATTCTTTGATAGCTGTATTGCTTTGTCCTTTTTAATTACATGATTTTCAACATTGATTCATTACCAATACCAGGCAGATCAGAAATGAAGTAGCCCTAGCACAGATTGACCTTATACAAACGTATCCTCATTACTAGGAACTAACGTGCATTACTTCACCTCTAATAATATTTTGACACATATATGGTTCGACATGCAAACGATGAAACATGGTCAACAATAAAGCAAACGTATTCCCTCATTAGTCCGAGTTATCCTTATTCGTCGTAGCTGTGAATGCTTACGACAGCTAACATCACCACAAAGGACGCGCCTGCGCATCTCCGTCGTTAACCTATGTAGGTACGTATTGCAGTAAAATATTGTTAACATTTACCGAACATGTCCCAGAATCCCCTCAGTCGGGTAGTCGGGTGGCGCTCTGAATAGTCCACTCGTCTTTTCATCAAGACGGCTGAGGTTCGATACCCAGATCGGACGGGAAAAAACATTGATTTATTTGCCCGACCACGTGGTATTTCTCCGGGTTCTCCGGTTTCCTTACACAGTAAGACCCTCTGCACTCTGCACCGGGAAACCGGTGGGGGACTAATTATGATAGATAATACATTGCCATATACTTGATCACACATATGACATCCGGCCTTCACACTGTTCCATCTGGCTGTTTCAGAAGTTTCTATTTATAAAATATCAATAATTCAATTCAAAGAATAAATTTATTTTCATCCTATATTGATACATGTATGCTGGAGCTGCTGAGCTATATTTATTTTAATTTTGTATTTCAAAATATATACTTCCCATTCAAAAACCACAATAATAAGCCTTAAATACATTGACCCCTTCATTGATTGGCTACTTAAATTCATAAATATGATATAATTATATTACATGGAGAGGACCGTGCCTGATGCCGTACCCTTTTGCAATGAAAACAAAATAAGAAAAAAAGTCCTTAGCCTGGTATAAGGGGTAACAGAACTTTTTTGCATATTTTGGCCCCCTCATTAGTCCTGCAGAAAGACATAACAGACAAGTTATTTCCTCCCGAAAATCATAACTACATAGAAATGAATAGAGTATAAACAGTTATGTGATTTGATCGCTTTTACCATAGCCAAATTGATGAACAGCTATCTGGACTTCAAGTTAGTACGTTACAGTTTTATACACTGCGAACTTTCCTGTCAGTTCGCGAGGAGATACCTTATTGCTTCAATAGATTACTAATATCAATACTTAAATAGCATCAATTCATGTATTGGTGATAAGACATAATAGAATTGTTCGCCAAGAAACGTACATGCGAAAATAACGTGACTGACAGTATGACAGGAGATTTCCAGTGCTCTCAAAACTGATAACCCTTGATGGTAATTATAATTAAAATACCGAGCCAGGGTCATATGACGACTGCAGTCTAGGGAGCTACCGCCTGAAACAGAAAGTAGATAGAAAAGAAAAAAAGACAAGAAAGAAAGGAATGAAAAAAGAACCGAAGTGTTGCGATGGGGCAGCATATCAATATTGGTCTCTCCCATGTCCTCTTCCCAGAAGCAAGGAAGAAAATCCGGGTTCTGCAGAGGTGGAGGGGGGCAGCATTAGTCGTCTCCACGATACGCATGCAATGGGATACAGCAGGTTTATTCTTGAATTTTTCAATGATTCCGAAACCTGAACACAAGGAAGATACCACCCACGATTCAAGAGGGGAGCCGAGCTTCCCTCGGTCATTTCAGGACATGTACTTTCTTTGACACACAACCATTCTAGTCACAATAAGAAACGTGTCATATATTTCTCAAAATGTACTTTGGAGTTTGGTTGTATAAGTCAGTAAATCAATGGCATAATCAAATTGTACACAACTGTTGTGGTCGGTCTCACTAAAAACCTTTGTGAATTATTTTGCAGTGTAATTCATTTTCAGCCTGCTGTGTCACATCTTTTCATATTTTAAAAGAGATGACTGCTATCCCTGATCACACGTTTTGTGTTTAAAGTGTCGTGACCTGTATATCATTCAGTCGTCATTCATCCCATCAATGATTATTTTTGTAAGTATCGTGTGGTGAGAGTGAGTTGATATCCTCCTTATGCGTCCAACGTGTTTTAGGAGTGATGATACACGTGGCATTTAATTTCCTGTGTACAGTGTCAAACTTTCAACATTTACATATCGGACAATGTCTAACTGTCGTTGTCTCCATTTCATTATCAGTTTATCGAGAAATGAATGGAGACCAAGTTCGCACCTTCCTCTGCTAACAATTGTGTATAAACTAATGGTTGTCTGTTTCATTGAAACGCTTTGTTAGTTCGTGCGTATGAATCAGGTGATACAAAACGCTTTTGTGTATATATGTGACGCTACTGGTCACAGTGATGGGTATATAATGATAAGCATAGCAACATAATCCCTCTTGTTGTCTTGGTGAAACAGCTGATATAATGCTACTTCAACCTCCTGGACAGTACCTTTGCTTTGTCAGTCTGATGGTAAGTCTATCATATTACTTATACATACCAGTGTATACATAAATATATTAATGAACATTATTTATTTATTCATTTTATTTTATTGATAACTTAAATGAACTTTAAAGTTTATTATATCATATGATTTAATCAAACTAACAGGGGTTTTCCGTATGCAAATGACCTCTTCTACTAATCTAACATCCCACTCACCTTATCAAAATATGTTTGTGCTTTGCAATATTTGAATATTCATTTTACATTGTGGTATATCAATGTCCTTTAAGAGATTGAAAACATTTTTTATGACACGCCCAATTTTCTTATTAGAGACGGAATAGGGAAAAAGTCGCATGTGCATTATATAAATACCTAAACTGCATAAAACGAGCTATCAATTTTGATTTTATTTATATCATCGACTGCGAGATAAAAAGGGTTTGAATTACTTTTTGATACTGAAAGAAAATTTGAAATTCAATATTTTACTGTACCTGCAGTTGGTACTATCATTTTTACACGGATTTATCTAAGCATATTTAAAGACATTTTAATGTTGTAAAAGCAGTTTCACTTTCCGTAGTTAATTTCTTTTCGTGGATTCTGTGTATATTTTGTTTATTTCAATTCAATTTATTACCAAATGCGCATTGCATATAGGCGTATGAAGTATGGTTCCTCGTTAAATGTTTACTTGAAATGTTTGTTCTCCTTTCTCCCACTTTTTTCTGATCAAAGGAATTATATAAACACTGGAAAACAATAGAGGTGTCAGTATAGTCTGTTCTGGTATAGTACAGGTATATTATTTACCTGTATTTACCTGTTCACCAATAGGAAATACTGTGTTAGTTATAGGAATATTTAACAAATATATTTCCTGATTTTCGTAATATTTACTGGAATTATGAATAAATGTATACAAGATTCCAGTTACAATGTATTACTTAATAAAAAAAAACACATCAAAATACATTAACTGAAAACCTGGTTTTATTAATTTCATATTAAATCAGTTTTATACATGTTTACTATAAATTTACATGTATGTTATACATGTATATATATTTCATAAAATAGAACTAAATTCAGGAGGTAATTTATGACAAATCAGTAAAGACAGAGATCAGGTATCAGAGACTGTATACCAGTGGGTACATCTGGTCTCCAATCCTGGCGTGGACGCTGTAGATCTGCTGAAACTGAGTCGGGCTCGTGTAAAACGTTCCATCACAGAAGAGAGTGTCGAATTCCTATCGATAGTGATTAATCACTTTGCAAACGGTCAGCTTATATTTTCCTTTATAAGTTCATATACTTGTATAATTAATTGTTGACTCAATGCTCACCAGTAAAGTGGTCAGTTGATGCCCGACCGATTTACTTATAGCCATCAGGTGTTAAGATTCTAGATTTCATTATTATCAACTAGAAATATCAGTGGACCCAAGCCATCTGGGGTTATCAAATAGAAACATAACTAATGCTTATGTTGTAGGGGAAAATAATCTAATTAGTAATTACACTGAAGACGCATTTATTGGTAAAAAAGATTCTCTGAAAATAATGCTCCAATGTAAATTTGCTTCACCCTAAATTAGATCATTTTAAATTCAAATTTAAATTAATCAAAGCATCATCATCTATATATATACTATTAAGTATATAGAATATTTGTGGATTTCACGTTACTGTTTTGTATAGATCTAGCTGATGAAAATTGTATATGACATGGATTTTTTTTATATAAAAATTATAAAACCAGACTATATCAAAGCTAAATGTATATGACAGTACTGTATATATGTATAAAACCCAGGTAAAATATATATGAAACAGACTATAACTGCTATCGCAACATTACTGCCTCTATGGTTTTTTTAAAAAGTGGATGAAAGGAGAACACACCACCTGAAACTATATGTTTAATTTATAACAGGTGTATCTTAAAACATTGCTGTCATTTTTATATTTTTTACTATTAAAATAAATATAACTCGTATATTAGAGGTTAAAAGATTATCTTCTGTTACAGTATGGGCTATCTTTCCCTGTGTGAGATTAAAGTGATGAAACCTGTCTTTATACTGCTATAAAATGTCTGTAACGCTCAACAAAATAACTCCGTCATAATTACATTCTTTTAAAATCTCGTTAACTTCAAATGTACAATCTCCTCCACCAATCTACTTAGGTTTCGGTGAACGTAAATTGAACATTTTGCACACTAAACTTAGACATCAGTGTAGTTCACTTAAATATGATATTTTTAGAGTAAATCTGGTTGCTAGTCTAGGTTGGTATTGTGGCCATCCCTGTGAAAATGCCTTTCACTTTTTTTGTGAGTGCTTACTTTTTAACAACGAAAGACACACCCTGCTCCAAAATGTGTATGCCTTGCATGTTGATTTTAATTTAGAACTACTTTTGTTTGGTAATAGTCAACTTTCGGTAGAAAACAACATAAGTATCTTTAGACATGTGCATCATTACATCAACTACAGCAATAGGTTTTGATAGTTATAATTACTTTTCTATTTTTATGTATGTGTAAGTTGCTATGTGTGTTTATGAAATTGTATTTCATTATTTTGCCTGATTTATTTTTACAGTGATTCTGTTCATTTCGAAATTACTCTACCAGGATGCGTGTCATCAAATTTGTATAGTTTATAATTTATTTAAATGCATATTGATTTCACAGTTTACACGTTTACTTTCGTAGGTAACACCCCTCCCCTCCATCACCCCACCCC